CCTCAAAGTATAACGTTAAAGATGCGATCGAGTTCAAAGACAAGATTGGAAATACCCATATTTATGACGATGAAAGTTCTGGTTGCTACCTCTTAATAAAGTTACTATATTCAATCATAATAAACGTAGGCCGTCACTGTCAAACGAAAAGACGTACTTAAGTTGCCATGACAATAGCAATACATGCACACTTTTTCGCTAATACATGCATACTTTTGCAATTGTCTCAATCACTGTCTTGATTATTTTAGAGACAGTAAATCGGACAACGATTTGACGTATGCAGACAATAATTTTGGCGTCTTGTGCAAGAAAGAAGAGAAATGTACAACAAAAGAACTAAAATAACACAAGAGAGGCTGATGTGTATGTAACTTTGTCTCTTCTTTATTATTTTTAGAATCTTTTATTTAACTTCACTTGTATGTATGTATGTCCTGAAATTTTGCAATCAATATTTAACAAACTTCCCGATGAGACTTGAAACTTCACACTTAGCTCAGAACCCGATGACAATGCAATATGAAAGACGAATTAATCCGCTAGGTAGCACAGGAGTGGAGATATTTTTAAAACCGGTATTTATAGACCAATTTCGTTCGTATTTAGAATGTATTTTTGTGCCGATAGGTGGCGCAGGAGTCGAGATCTTTGGAAAACCCGTATTTATGATCCAATTTGGTTTACATTTAGAATACATACAAGTTTGTGTATTACCTACTTAAATTGAAATCTATTGAAACCCTAAATCATGCCTAGCGACTTCAATAAAACAGGAGGCTTGCCTAAAGAATTGGAAATATTTCAAAGAGCTAAAGTAATGCTACGATATATTATTGATTATCCCAAGAACCTATAAATGGCGCAATAGGATCCATCGCTGAAATTATCTGGCAAAATTTTAGACTAGATTAAATGTATGCAGAAGATATATGTACCATCAATACGTGTAAAATTTGGAAATGAAAGTCAATACAGATTCCGGCAAAGTTAAGTTACGGAACCGTTGAAAGCAGAATGCTGCCAGTCATTCTATCATGAGCATCAACAATACATACATGCACAGTACAGTACAGTACAGTACAGTACAGTACATGCAAGGTAGTACTGTAGACTACGCTGTTTAGGATCAAAGATATTCGCAAATGGTTAAGCCTTTGTCACTCTTAGTAAAGTTAGATCGCTAGATCGACTTCGGATAGAGGAATTGGCAAGCTCGAAACTGACTGGATCGAAGCCATGCCATAACGATGCAGGATTTCGAAAGACTAAAAAGTAGAAAAAAAGTATAGTTAAAAAAATTAAAAACTCGTTTTTGTTACAACAAGAACTAAAAAGTAAAAAATAATTTATAGATATAGCGATTAAGAAGATTAGGAAGTTCCTAACTTGATTTCATTTATTTTAAACTAGGTTAAAATACGATTAAACTGATTGTTCCGTAGTCATAGTCAAAATAAAGTCGACTGTAAACTTAGTTGCAGCTTCATGACATAATTTTTAACTGGATATCTGTCAAAAAAGCTGCAACTAACTTTACAGTCGACTTTACTTTGACTATGACTACGGACCAATCATTTTAACCTAGTTTAAAAAGTTAAATGAAATCAAGTAAGGGAACTTCCTATTCGCCTTAATCACTATATCTATAAATTATTTTGTACTTTTTAGTTCTTATTGTAAAAAAAGCGTGTTTTTAGTTTTTTTAAACTATAATTTTATTTAGTTTTAAGCTTAAATAGCTCGCGTGAAATGCGTTTAATAAAACAACGTTCACGTCCGACGTTTTGCTCAAAATGAATTGTCATAATCATTGTCAGGACGCCTGCGCCGCGGAGACAATTAATTATTGTCTTGACAACATTGTCTAATGTAAACGCGCCATTATCTCCCAGAAATAGTCCGAAGTAGTCAGATTTAGTCCAAAAAGCGTTTCCTAACTTGAAAATGACAGCAGAAATGAGAGAGCAACACTCAATGAGAGTGACTCACTTCAGTCCGAAGTAGCCGATTTAGTCAGAAGAATTTTTGCTGGCAAAATCTTGAAAAGTGTCAAACTCAACTGAATTTAAATTAACGGAAATTGAAGAATACACGAAAAGTGAGAATTATCTAAAAACTAAAAAAAATGTGAATTGAAAATGGAAGGAGGCAAAAAATAATTGATATAGTAAGTGTTTATTGTGCTTGTGCTATTGTGAATGTGTTTTGTACATACATACATTTTCAGTCTTATTTGACGTTAGTTTTATTGTTGCCATTGTTTGGATTAAAACATTTTTTTTTTTGCGTTCCTTTACTTTTTCCTATTAATTTCTTTTAGTGAGTGCGATTTTTTGTTACAAATTTTCGGTCGCGGCGCTTTTTCCATAAAAATCAATACTTCGATAAATAATGAAAATTTTTAATAAAAAATCGCGCGATTTTTTATTAAAAATTTTCGCCTGCTGCGCTTGTCAGTTTTTTTTTTATATATTGTAGGTATTTAACCCCATACCCTCCTTTACTTCTAATTCAATGCTGAGCAGGAAAATGGGTACGATAAAAACTATTCTCTTTTATTGTCATTTTCTTAGGTGTGGCTGCACTCTTCTAATGTCAGTGTGAAACCATGGTTGAATCAACGGTTCTGTATTCACAATGTGCGTATACATATATAAGTGCGTGATAATTATTAAAACTTACTTAATTTACTAAAAATACATCATAAATGTAAAAAATATGTTTACATTTCATTGTGCGGGGTTTTAATGTAACTATTTTGCCGAAGTGTCTACATAAATATAGTGTTTATTGTGTGAAATGGCGCCGAGAGGTTAGTTCAATTTACAAACTTTAACAACAAATAACTTAAAAACTATAAGCCTCCTGCGGCAAAAAGTATATATATTTGCAATCAGGAGAACACCCCACATAGCCACTTTTTTTGTACGCGGGGGATGCCAAACTAAAATTTTCCCAATATATCTACAAGTGTATAAAATAATATTGTGTTACAAAAAATTATAGAACTTTTAGCTACAAGTGAATCACGAATAACTTGTAGACTTGTTACAATTGTAAACTTTGTATTACAGGCCCCAGGTCGCGGTCGCGGTTTAGATGTCTAGCAAGCTAACTAGAAAGCTGACTACCAGCTTAACATCGAGGGAATATTGAAAATAACGCGAAGTTTTTGCTATTTGTTAGTCAGATGAATAGCAAGTTTAATTCAATCTCATTTAACTAAAACATTAGTGCGATTCATAAAACGTCGCAAAGTGGCATTTTTGGCGAAATGGCAATGTTGCGAACAAATTTGTATGAACGACCTATCGCAACTCCGGATTGCAAATATAAAATTTTTTAAAAATGCCGCGCGTTAGAGAAAAAGAAAAGTTTTTACAATTATATTTCGAAGCAGCCTTAACTGATATACTTTTTCTTGAAGTAAGTATTTGAAGACAATAAAAAACATGTGTTTCGCGACTTTGACTTTGCAATGATTACCAGCTCAAATAACATGGCAATGTCGCAATTTTGTCGCAAAAAGTGTCCTTACAAAAGTAATCAGCTGTATCGCAAGGTTGCAAATTTTGCGACAAATGCAACATTGGCAACAACTTTGCGACGTTTCATGAATCCCACTATCCCGCTACTATTAAAATAGTAGCGATAGCGATGTTAAGCTTTTCTTAACTTTCCTTTAATGTTGATGCGCATTTTGCACTTGTAATTCACATCTTTCACTTGTATGCTGCTGAATATCTGACAGACGAAAACAAACATGCACAAAGTCAGCGTAATCTACTAGTCAGCTTGTTAGTTAGGTGAGCAGAAAACTGAGTATAATGTGCGCTCTCGTATAGTCGCCTGAGTTTGTTTCGTTAGTCAGCTTGCTAGTCATCTAAACCGCGACTAGGACCTGCTGTTTTTTTTGCTAAATATTCTTCCTTATTTAAATTTTTAGCAACCTAGACACATACATTTTTGGGTGAGTTTGTCCGTATTATGTACATTAAATTAAATAGTACTGAAAAGTACTGATGTACAAATTTCCACAAAAATAAATCTGGCAACCCTAACTATGACCATCGTGTTTTACAAATATTAAAAAAAATGATAATTGTTCTGAAAGTATGTATGCACATAAATTGATGCCCTATTTATTGAAATCAATTAAAAAAGGCGAGGCTAGGTAATTTAAGTAGAAATACGGCCTTGGATTTTAGAAGTGTTTCTGATGAATTCTTACTATTTACTAAAAATTTCGTATCTGAGAAGGTTGTTTAGCGTAAAGTTTGCTTCTAACAGGTCTATTCTGCACAATTTTGTGACCGTTACCGTTGTGAATGTTACCACTTCTTGTCACCGCGATTCTAGGTACGTTGGTAATGCAGTGAAAATATTCAGCAGTTCAGCTATGAAGATTTGTGGCAATTCTTGTATTGCATATTTCACGGGGCAATATTTTGTTACCAGTTTATGAGATGGTAACCAAATTTACCGGTTACAAGAGCGCACAGAATGCGAAAAACATTTAAAAATTGACAGACGCTTTAATTACCGGTTACAAACTTTATGTTACTAGCGCAGAATAGACCTATAACACTCCTATTGTACTAATAAATTGATTTAAACATGGTAAATGAAAACATGTCTGCAATATTTTACGTAGCAAAGGAAAATTCATTTAGTGATGTTACTCATATGTAATTGTTTACATTACACTAATTAGTCTAAAATTTCTTATATATATTTCAGAACTTATACAATAATCATGGTTGTACTCTCAAAATATATTGACTTTGCGGTTAAAAAGTACGATGGGAGTGGGTTTTCAAAAACCGCCATTAGCAATGCTATACTCGGTGCAGCAATTTGCGCCTACACATGTAAAGTCACATATCCGTTAATTGGAAAACATTTTATCAATAAAGATGAGCAACATCGGGCAACGTTGCTTACAAATATCGAAGATGAAGACCTGTTAGTTACACCAATGGATGATGAAGACTCGAAATTAGCCGAAGCTGAAAAATTGGTACTTGCCAAGCAATTGAAAAAGAATAATAATACACAATTGGAGCCAGGCCTGAATAAAGAATTCATACAACAATTAAGTAAACTTGTGAAGATTATGATACCAAAATGTGTATGTTATGAGACTGGCCTACTGATTGTTCACACTTTGTGTTTAATATCGAGAACATTCTTATCAATTTATGTAGCTGCTTTGGAAGGCGCTATAGTCAAATTTATAGTGCGAAAGGACGTTAAACAATTCGCTATAGTGCTCTTGAAATGGTTTGGAATTGCGATACCCGCTACGTTTATAAATTCCATGATAAGATTTCTGGAAAGCAAGCTTTCATTAGCCTTCAGGTAATGAAAAAATTTAATTTCTGTTATATATGAAATGAAGTGGCAAGGCCACTACATTGAATTGATATTTTACACATCTAGCAACTGTTGTTGCTAGAACATTCTTCTTATCATTAATTCTCAGGATTTTCTTTGCAATGTACTTTTCACTCATATTATTTATTGACTAAAATAAAAATTTGTATACAAAAATTTTGATGGTGGATTAATAGTATTCATTATTTCTTGAGTAATAAGTTTTGACAAAGGGAAACCATAATTCCTTCACAATCATTATTATTGAAAAAACTTCGAGTGGGCGCATCAAAAACATTCTAATTTAATGTTGCATGATAATAAAAGGCCAGGCCGGTTAAAAAATACGCGACCTGAAGCGTAGTGTTGTTAATTTAAGCTGAAATAGCGATACGATTCTCAATTTGGCCATACAAAAAACTGTCACCTGAAATTGCCTCAACTTCAGGAATTCAACTCGGAAAATTGCATATTGTGAGTTATTAATGAGCAAAAAGAAGAAAAAATAAACGTAAATAATAAGCAAATAAAAACAAAACAAAGGAACCGAGCAAACAAACAACAAACAAATAAACAAACAAACTGTCATAGAAATTGAGATGGCAGTGTAAACAGCTACTCAATTTGAAATTGAGTGTTGAAATTGCGGAATTTAGACGTTGTGGAAGTGCTCTTTAAGTGAAAAAACTGCTTTATTATGACTTGTTGATGAGAAAGTGCTTAGGGAAATTTTTGTTTCCTTATGTACAAGATTAATCTTTTAAATAAGTATATTTGTTACGTAAATACTTCGCAAAATTGCCCATTTTCATTGGTTGTTGTATATAAATCCCATTAAACTAATCACATCTTTCTGAAGTAGCTTAAAGCAGAGCTTCCTAAAGCAGGTTCCGCGGAACCCAAGGATTCCGTAGAAAAGTCATCTGGGTTTCGTGAAATGATTAATTTCTGGCTGTTAAATAATTAAACAGATACATAAAATCATATATACAGTGACGGGCAAAACTGTAACATGGTGTAACACTTTTTACTTCAGCCATCGCTATCTTTCCAAGGTCTAACGCCTTTGATACTTTTGTTGTATATTCTTGTTGGTACATCCCTACTCCCTCTCTCATAACGAATTAAAGTCAGTCCAACAACAATAATAAAACCAGCAGACCAAAATGTAAATTAAGGCATATGTTACAGTTTTGCACTGTGATAAATTAGTATGATTTTTATTGTGTTAAGTATGTCCAATCATTTGTTATTTTTACTCAGTCAGTCCTTTGTAATAGTCATTCAGTCTGTCGTTTGTAATAGTCATTCAGTCGGTCTTGAAATAGCTTAAGTTTTGGATTTGCTAAATAAATTTACAACCCTGTGTTCTACTTTCGCTTTGCTCTGTTTCGCGATCCCGCTGATTGAATTGCCATATAAGTTCGGGCAACGGCACAAATTTTCATCCATCACGCGAGCAAACCGAGGGTAGAATACTGGAAAATAAACTTGCGGAAGTGCGCATGTTAAACCAAAATCTTGGTGTCGTGATACGCTTTATTTTCCATTTTACTTGTTCGTCGCCGAAGTATATACGCTAATTTGCCGCCATTTCGTCAACGAGTGTGCTAATTTGCCGCCATTTAGTCATTCGCAATTTCACAAGAAAGCGACTGCCGACTTTGTGCCAATTTTAACTGGCAGTATTTGAAGCGAGGGATCACATTTGTCATAGCACACAAATTTGCTGTTTGATCATCAAATTATAAGGACTTTGGAATGGAGCGTTCGCCTGTACGTCGGAGTAAGCGCAATCAGCCAGAAGGACTAGTGCCTGCCATTCAATCGTCAGGCAGCTTAGCGAAGATTGCCGC